ATAACCCTCTTTCTAGTTGTTCAGCCAATTGTTGTGACTTTTCACTGTGTTTTTCTCCCCCCTCAGCCCATTGGTGTCACTCAGCTGACATTTGTTCACAGGAGCAGAGCACTGAAGTGTTTGCTCTACTTGGCTGATACCAAGACTGTGGAAACGCTCTTCAAGAAACCCATTGAGGAAGTAAAGTATGATGAATTTTCCTGAAGATGTTCCTTAATAGTGATGTTTTCTTGGTCTTTAACAGCCATTGGAAAGAAATATGTGATACTTGGAGAATTCTTTTTTTACTAATCTGGTTTCTGAGCTTTTGCAGTCTGTTTCTGAAGAGTATAATTAGATCTTTTATCTACACTGTAATGCAGTCCAGTACATCAGTCCTAATTTGTAAACCTGAAAGTAGCATGACATTACACTGAAAATATTTTATTCCTTTTTCCATGGATTGCAGTTACTTCTCTAGTAACTGAAGAATTTTCTCCTACCCAGATATACATCATATTCTTTTCAGAGTTCAGAACCACTCATCTTACAGAGACAGATGTCTGCAAAAATAAGGAACCAAAATCCTGGCAGAATAATGTTGTTTCTCTGAAAATATCTGTAGAACTAACTTCCTTAGAAAATAGCCAGAATAGAATTTCTGTGTTGATAGTCTGGAATCGGGGCCTTTTTAATGGAAAGTGATGTTTTCAGAGTACATCATGTCAAAGAGCTACGTGTGGGTTTCTGTGAATATGCAGTCCCTGTGCATGAATTAAATTTTAGTTGTAAGAGTTATAGTAACTGGTTTGTCTCTAGAGATGATCCAGGCCATCCATCATTCAGGTGAATGAAGTTTCCCTAAGCACTTACAAAAGTTTTTTACTTCATTAAGATCTCCTTCATAAGTAGAAATACAATCTATTTTTTTTTTTAAAGCAATAGAACACTTTTCCAATATTGTCCCGGGCTTGATTATGTGATTTATAATATAATAGTCACTGTAAATATCATTAACTCATGTTTTTGGGGGGACTGTTCTTTGGGGTTTTTTTACAGGTATTTTCTAAAATGCTGCATTTATCTGGCAGAGTTTGAAATCTTGAATATCCCATATACTTATGAATCATTTCATAAGAGTCCTAAGGAAGGAATGATCAAGGGGCTGTGGAAGAATCACAGCCATGAACCCATGGTAGGATTTTTAAATCCTTTGTAATTTTGTTACACTTTGTCTGGAATTTAACTTTGACAATTACTTTATGTTACCAAGTATATTTTGTAAACAGCTAACTTAACACTGAAGACAAAGGCAGGTAAATGAGATTTAGACAATAACAGACAGTAGCATATGACCAAAAATGTGTACTATTCTATTAAGACTTCAACAATAATACTCCCAAGTTACAGCCATAAAATGGAAGCGATCTGTTCTTTAGTTGAAATATACACATGCACGTCTAAAACTTGAAAATGACAGATAAAAAAAGCTTTAGCCTTCCTAGAAGATCATGAATGTATATTAAAATGCAGCATGTCCTTGCTCTCCTGCAGGCTGTTAGACTGGTGACAGAACTCAGTCTAGACTACAAAGTGTACGATTCCCAGCTGTGGAATGGCCTCCTACAGAAACTCGTTGGTTTCAATATGGTAAGGAATTTTTAAGCATGAAGTTCTGTAGCAAGGTGAGAAAAAGGCTTTTTTTTAATCCACTGATTTCTAAAGAATGTGATAGATACATAAACT